TTGAGGGCATGAAGGTAGCAGGGTTTAGGATTTAAAGATGCCAAGAACAGAACACGACAAAGCAACTATTGACTTCCTTGTTGAACAGGCAACTCCATGATGACTGGTTTGGCGCAGCCCTCCGTAGCGAGAAGCCGGTAGCGGCAAAACGGTACGCGGCGTCGAGCACATGTGCAGTGCTTTGGAGCGCAACCGACTGGGCGGCCAGTGACAGGCCGCAAGTCAAGCACATAGACCCCCTGTGGGCAGAAGCCTTTTTCGCCCTGAGGGCCAAGCTATTCTTCCGCGTTTTTATGGTGGGTTTAGGGTTTAGGGATTCTGTTTGGCGTTCTTGTCGGGGTTGGTCGTTTAATTGTCGGGTAACCTCTGGCTTGTGTTCTTGTCGGGCTTTTAAGCCCGCTGTCTAGGGTACCCTAAACCCTACACTCCAAACCCTAAACCCTAAACCCTAAACCCTCAACTCTGAACCCTAAACCTTAAACCCTAAACCTCAAACCCTAAACCATGAACCACTCCCTGACTCCAACAGGATCAGTTCTCATGTTCCTTCAGCATCTGCAAAACCCCAGCACCTCCCCTCTGATCGGCCCTTAAACGGGGTACACGTATAGGGCCCATACTAAGGGACCATGTAACTACCCTTAGGTTGGGGTTCTTCAGGGTTTAGGGTTTAGGGTTTCTAGGGATTAGGGCTTAGGGCTTAGGGTGTAGGGTTTAGGGTTTAGGGTTTAGGGTTTAGGGCGCCCTCAGACCCCAGCACCCCCCTCTGATCGGCAGTTGGGGCGCGCAGGTCTTTTCGGCAGAGGAGGCGCAGCACGACAAGGCGAGCTCAACATGAAGCAGGGGTTTAGGGTTTAGGGTTTAGGGTTTAGGGTTCAGGGTTTAGGGTTTAGGGTTTAGGGTTTAGGGTTCAGCATTTAGGGTGTAGGGCTTAGGGTTTGGGATTTTGGTTAGTGTGTTCAGGATTCCTTATCAATATTGCGGAGTGTATATACTTGGTGTTTTGTTGGGGATGCTCGTGTTAAATACCTGAGCTCATGTTTTTCTTTATTTGCTCGAGGTTTTTGGGGGCTCAGGGGTTAGAGTTTGGGGAGTCCTAGTTGAAGGGTTTAAAGGGTTTAAGGCACCTTCAACCCTAAACCCTAAACCCTAAACCCTAAACCCTAAACCCTAAACCCTAAACCCTAAACCCTAAACCCTAAACCCTAAACCCTAAACCCTAAACCCTAAGCCCTAAACCCTAAACCCTAAACCCTAAACCCTAAACCCTAAACCCTAAACCCTAAACTCTACAAACCCTAACCCTAAACTCTACAATTACCTAGACCCTAAACCCTTAAACTTCTTAGGGTGAGGGGAGGGAATGGCCTCTTGCAGCCTCAGGTGGATGCTTTTGCCTCGTGGCAACTCTTAAGCCTGCGGCCATAAGGGTTTAGGGTTTAGGGTTTAGGGTCAAGTTTCGTGCTTTGGGTGACAGATCAGATCGCTCTCACAATCCCCTGTAGGATGCCCCCGTGCAGCCCGCAGACCTCGACTTCTCGCCCCGCATGTCTCCAGCGGCAATCGACTTGTTGCAAGAGGCAACAGAACTCTACGCAACGCAGGTGTTCGCCGGTGCACAGACCCTGGCAAGTCATCGCCGTCGCGTGGGGGTGGACGAGAATGATTTTCTTTGTTGGGTTGAGGTGAACGCTAGCCCTAAACCCTAAGCCCTAAACCCTAAACCCGAAACCCGAAACCCTAAACCCAAAGAACAATGCCAAGCCCTTAACCAACACAGCAACCAAACCCTATAGGAACCTCACAGTCCCCCCTCCAAAAGGAGGCCCCGCAGCCCCGAACGGACCTCCAAACCCCGGAAGTCATAGCGACAGTCGTGCCCGTAGTCACGACAAGAATAGTACGTCTACAGCAAGAACCCTAAGACTCTAAGACCCTAAGACCCTAACCGCCCTAACACCCGAAAGCCAAAAGCCTAAACCGCCTAAACCCTAAACCCTAAACCCTAAACCCTAAACCGCCTAAACCCTAAACCCGAAACCCCAAACCCTAAACCCTAAACCCGAAACCCCAGACCCTAAACCCTAAACCTTAAAGCCTAAACCCTAAACCGCCTAAACCCTAAACCCTAAACCGCCTAAACCCTAAACCCTAAACCCTAAACCCTAAACCCGAAACCCCAAACCCTAAACCCTAAACACCCCCCTAAAGCCCTAAAGATCGCGCAGGTCATGCACCTCCGGAAAGTCGGGCTTCAGGCCTCCCGCCCTGATATTTTCCGCCATCTTCTAGGGTGGTGGAGGGCGTAGTTGAGAAGCCCTAAATCCGTGTAGGGTTTAGGGTTTAGGGTTTAGGGTTTAGGGTTTAGGGTTTAGGGTTTAGGGTTTAGGGTTTAGGGTTTAGGGTTTAGGGTTTAGGGTTTAGGGTTTAGGGTTTAGGGTTTAGGGTTTAGGGTTTAGGGTTCAGGGTTCAGGGTTTAGGTTTAGGGTTTAGGGTTTAGGGTTCAACCCGAGCCCTTAATCCGTTTAGGGTTTAGGGTTTAGGGTTAAGTAAGGGTTGAGGGTTTAGGTTTGGGGCTTGGGTTTAGTAGGGTTTGGGGGTTTATGTGAGGAGTTAAGGGTCCGAAAACACCATGTAGGGGCACGCTTCAGAAGCTCAGTGCAGATCTGTCGGTTTAGTGTTTAGGGTTTAGGGTTTAGGGGTTAGGTTTTAGGATTTAGGGTTTAGGGTTTAGGGTTCAGGGTTCAAGGGTTTAGGGTTTAGGGTCCACGTGTCTTTCTGGCTCGACAGAAGTCTGCCTGCCATTTGATGCTCGCGGTTTTAGAAGTTTCATGGAGGCTGTCAAGGGTTCGGGGCTGAGGGTTTACCCTAAACCCTAAACCTTAAACCCTCAACCCTAAGCCCCAAAACTCCACACCCCAAGGCTGCTGAAGTTAAAGCCCGAAGCCCTGGGGGCTGGACCCTAAATCCCAGACCCTAGACCCTAAACCCTAAACCCTAAACCCTAAACCCTAAACCCTCAACACTAAACCCTAAACCCTAAACCCTAAACCCCAAAACCCCAAAAACCCAGAACCCTAAATCCAAAACCCTAGAACTGGTCCTTTGGGGCTTCAGTGACCGCGCACGGACCTCCACCCAACCCATCCAAGGTCGTTGTGCCCTTGAGCCCTTGAGTCTTTGAGCCCTAGGGTTTAGGGTTTAGGGTTGAGGGTTTAGGGTTTAGGGTTTAGGGTTTAGGGTTTAGATCAGGGTTTAGGAAGTAAAGTTCAGGGTTTAGGAATTAAGGTTCAGGGGTTTAGGGGTTTTGGGGGTTTAGGGGTTTAGGGGCTTAGGGGCGTAGGGGTTTAGGGGTTTAGGGGTTTAGGGCTCAGGGCCTAGGGTTTGGCGACCTGGTACCTCTCAGTTCTCAAGCCTCCACCCTTGGTTGTACATGTTGCCATCTGGTTGCAAGCAATGCCTGAATTCATCCCTTCAGGGTTTGGGGATCAGGGTCCAGGAGTCATGTGAGTTGTGACTTGGCATTTCTGGTTGTACATTGGCACAGCTAGAACATGCAAAACTCATCTTCAGTCTCTCGTGGTCGAACAACAGCTCCCCCAACCCTAAACCCTAAACCCTAAACCCTAAACCCTAAACCCTAAACCCTAAACCCTAAACCCTAAACCCTAAACCCTAAACCCTAGACCCTAAACCCTAAACCCTAAACCCTAAACCCTAAACCCTAAACCCTAAACCCTTTGCCCTTTAAACCCTAAACCCGAAACCCTAAACCCTAATCCCTAAACCCAAAACCCTAAACTCTAAACCCTAAACCCAAAACCCCCAAACCCAAAGCCCGGCTTGGTTCACACTGAGGCCATTCGCCTAGGGAAGGTGGGCGTCGTGCTGTTGGCCGGAGGCGCGTTCCCTCGTGGGGACTCTGCCTTGGGCTCCGAGGTTTATACCCGTTGGGTTTGGGGTTTAGGGTTTAGGGTTTAGGGTTTAGGGTTTAGGCTTTAGGGTTTAGGGTTTAGGGTTTAGGGTTTAGGGTTTAGGATATAGGGTTTAGGGTTTAGGGTTGAGGGTAAGATCCTCTACTGCAATATGAGGGCCATGCCAGGAGTAGATGAGGGGACGCCTCTGAGGGGTACAGCCTTGGAGATCCGACTATGACTCCCTTGATTCTTGGACCCCATGACTCCCTCCGAAAGGCCTACAGGTTGGTTTAGGGTTTAGGGTTTAGGGTTTAGGGTTTAGGGTTTAGGGTTTAGGGTTTAGGGTTTAGGGTTTAGGGTTTAGGGTATTTAGGGTTTAGGGCTTAGGGTTCAGGGTAATTCCTGAAGCCCTACACCCTAAACCTGAAGCTGCATGAACCTCAGAACCCCAAATCCCTGAAAGCCCCAAGAGGGACAATCTTGACACCTGGAAGGACCGCCGGACCCTAAACCCGAAACCCCAAACCCTAAACCCTAAACCCAAAACCCTGAACCCTAAACCCTGAACCCTAAACCCTAACCCTAATTGCCTGTAGCTTTCGGGCTTTGCAAAGTGGCCCTCATTTTCAACCAGTGCACTTAAGAAATGGCATCAGCTATGACTGTGGCCTCTGTACCATCAATCCCGGTGGATGACCGTGCGTCGACACGGGCTTCCACCATGGCAAGCACGGCGCCTGGAGGAGAGGCGATGGGCCTCAGCAATGCCTACTCCGCCTACAAGGAACGATACCTAGGCTAAACCCTAAACCCTAAACCCTAAACCCTAAACCCTAAACCCTAAACCCTAAACCCTAAACCCTAAACCCTAAACCCTAAACCCTAAACCCTAAACCCTAAACCCTAAACCCCCTAAACCCTAAACCCTAAACCCTAAACCCTAAACCCTAAACCCTAAACCCTAAACCCTAAACCCTAAACCCTAAACCCTAAACCCTAAACCCTGACTCCGCCCAGAAGGAGCGATACCTTGCATGGCGCCGGAGTGAAGCCAGCGCGGCGAGAGGTGAGCCCAACAAGGTCATGCAAGTGCGGTCGCAAGGCTTTGGATTCTAGGTGGGACTTTACTCCAACTTTATCACTTTATGAGTTTAGGGTTCCTCTGAGTTCATATTTTGAGGGAGCTAAAAGTTAAACTTTATTTTGGGTTAAAGAGCAACCAAGGATTCTGGTACCCTTCGCTTGAGGTCTGGCAGTGGCGACGAACATTGTCATACTGGATCGCGGTGACCTTCTTTGAAGGCTCGATCTTCTTCACCATCTCCTCCTTCGCCTACTGCTACGCGGAGGAGTTGGGAATGGCCAAGGATGCTCTGACGAAGTGGGGCTATGTCGGAGGGGCGATCAACTTCATCGTGTGCACCTACTTGATGTGTGTTGAGACGATCAACCTGACAGCAGACCGGAAGTTAAGTACCGAATTCATCGGGAAGCTGGTGGGCAAAGACTCGTCCGCTTCCTCGGAAGAGGAGACCACCGACGTGCAGGAAGCCCCTGAAGGGGAACCATCAACGGGGTCAGATGAGGCAGGTCGGGAGCGCTTCCTGGTAGCCCAGTGGTCCTTTTTTTTTTTTTTAATTTTATTTTTTTTTTTAAATTTTGGGTTCAAGGTTCCCTTATACACTAGCCAACCCCCAAAAAGGGTGATCTTATTATGATAGTATGGCTACTGGGCAACCGAGGCTTAGGTGAGGGGCAAGGAAGACGCGCTTCATCTGCAGAGCGCTTTTACCTCAACCCCTTCCGGGCGAAGCAGGCGCTGAGGAACCTCAAGCGCCTGGGTGCTGGCCCCTGGCCGTACTTTGCCTCCTTGATCTACCTCCTTGGCTGTGGCATTTTCACAGTTGGCATAGTGGGCCTGTTTTTGGACTTCTGCACTTTCCTTTCTGGAGACGCGCTGGCGTGGACGCAGCTAGTCAGCTTCGAGCTTGGTTCGCTCATGTTCCTTGGAGGAGGTGTGATGGAGTGCTTGGAGAACGAAGTGTTTTGCAAGCGACACCCATGCTCCAAGCATGAGACCACCTTTCAAGGCAGGTTGAGTGCCGTGTGTAACACTGCTGGTAGTCTTGTCTTCGTCACTGGTGCCACCCTTGGCTTTGTTCCTGGCTGGGACTACGAGGCCAACTTCAGCTACTTCCTCGGCTCCTTGCTTTTCGCCTTGGGGTCTGGCGTGCAGATCGTGATGTGGAAGGATGAACCTTAGTGGCTGAATGAGCACACTTTACACTTTTTGGGGTGCTATCATCCCCATAGAACTGAAAGTGCGCACTTTCCCTGGGGGGGGGGGGGCTTTTTTGAACTCAGCAACTAAGGAAACCCTAAACCCTAAACCCTAAACCCGAAACCCTAAACCCGAAACCCGAAACCCTAAACCCTAAACCCTAAACCCTAAACCCTAAACCCTAAACCCTAAACCCTAAACCCTAAACCCTAAACCCTAAACCTAAACCCTAAACCCTAAATCTAAGGAACAGTTCGGGCTCGCTTTTCTGGCCGTCCTCAACGCAAAAGGCCCTCCGCAGATAGTCCTCCCCGAGGATGCCGAGACCATCCAGGAGGGGTTTAGGGTTTAGAATTTAGGGTTTAGGGTTTAGGGTTTAGGGATTTGGGTTTAGGGTTTAGGGTTTAGGGTGTAGGGTTTAGGGGTTAGGGTTTGGAGGCTTCTACGTCCACTTTGACTGGCGCCCTCTTCATCATGATACTTCGTAGCTGAATGAGTACGCTCTACAGTTTTTGGGATATTATAATCTTGGTAGCCCTCTGGTACCCTTTTCCCTTTTTTGGGGTTCAAGGTTCCCTCATAAAGTGACCCAAAAAAGGGTGCCCTTATCATAATATGGCTCCTGGGCTACCAAGAAATTCCCTATAAGACTGAAACTGCACACTTTTTTTGGGGGGGGGGGCTCATGAACTCAGCAGCTAAGGATCTACTGCCTGGCCTCAGCACTGAGCTTCTACAACGTGACGATGTCCCTGACGTCCCTGGAGCTGCGGAAAGAACGCGCCCACGCCATCGTCGTCTCCAACGCCATCAACGCTTCTCTGCCCTGCCTCTTCGCTCACATCATGCTGGCACTGAACTCGGGTAGGCCAGTGGTACCCTTTTTCCTTTTGTTTTTTTTGGTTCAAGGTTCTCTTATTATTACTATTATTATTATGATTACTATTATTATTATTATTATCATTATTCTTATTATTATTATAGTAGCCAACCCCAAAAAGGGTGCCCTTACTAGAGTATGGTTCCTGGGCTACCAAGGAACTCTGCCGTCATCCAGGCGCCCAGGCTGGCACCTTTCAAGCAGCTTTACTACGTCGCCCGAGTGGTGGCGATCATCATGGTCCTCAACTCTGGCTTCCGCATCGTAGAAGGCGTCTACCTACCTGGCAAGCTGGCAGCGCAAGCACCGTAGGGTTTAGGGTTAGGGTTTAGGGTTTAGGGTTTAGGGTTTAGGGTTTAGGGTTTAGGGTTTAGGGTTTAGGGTTTAGGGTTTAGGGTTTCGGGCTTAGGGTTTAGGGTGCGGCCTTGGCACAGGTTTTAGCAGCTGCAACACCCATTGCTGAGACTGCCGGATGCCCAAAAAGCTGACAACCTATTTAGGGTTTGAAGTTTAGGGCTTAGGGCTTAGGACTTAGGGTTTAGGGTTTAGGGGTTTCTGGCCGAAACCTCCTGAAAGCAGCTGTGCTCCACCCGCAACACGACTTAAGCCCAGAGCCGTGCCAGGGTTTAGGGGTTTAGGTTAGGGTTTAGGGTTTAGGATTTGGGGTTTAGGGTTTAGGGTTTAGGCTTAGGGTTTAGGGTTGAACAACAACAACCACAACAACGTCCACACCAACCAAACAACCCTGGACCCTAAACCCGCCCCCCTGCCCTACACCCTCAAAACCCGAACAGATCCCAAACAAACCAGCAGTTCCCTCCTCCATGGAAGGTGCCAACTGGCGGCTGGGTGGGGGTCCGGTTGGCACGAGCAGGCACGGGAGTTTGGAGTTTTGGGGGTTTGAGGTTTAGGGTTTGAGGTTAGGGTTTAGGGTTTAGGGTTTAGGGTTTAGGGTTTAGGGTTTAGGGTTTAGGGTTTAGGGTTTAGGGTTTGGGGTTTGTGGGTTTCGGGGTTTAGGGTTTCGGGGTTTAGGGTTTGGGGGTTTGGGGTTTGTCGTTGGGGGCTTAGGGTTGGGGTTGCGGGCTAACCCTAAACCCTAAACCCTAAACCCTAAACCCTAAACCTTAAACCCTAAACCCAAAACCCAAAACCCTAAACCCTTAACCCTAAACCCTATACCCTAAACCCTAAACCCTAAACCCTAAAAGAGGGTTTGGGGTTTCGGCCCCTTGCAGGGCGACGCTCGGAACCTCGCCACCCCAATCCCCGACTGAGGACGTTCCTAAACCCCAAGCGCCGAGCCCTAAAGCCCCCAAACCCTAAGGCCTATTTTTTGAGGGGGCTTAGGCAACTTTGGTTGGTTTAGGGTTTAGGGTTTAGGGTTTAGGGTTTAGGGTTTAGGGTTTAGGGTTTAGGGTTTAGGGTTTAGGGTTTAGGGTTCAGGACGTTCAAGGGGGTGTTGTGTTTTGTGTCTAGGATCTTCGGGGTTTGGGCTTGGCCGGGGCTCAGGGCCCCGCATAAGCCCCCTAGACCGCAACCCCCCAAAACCTTAAACCTTAAACCCTAAACCCTAAACCCTAAACCCTAAACCCTAAACCCTAAACCCTAAACCCTAAACCCTAAACCCTAAACCCTAAACCCTAAACCCTAAACCCCAAAACCCCAAAACCCCAAAACCCTAACACCTCACCAGCCCTAAAGATCCTAAGCTTTACCGAAGGCTGAACCTGAAGTCGGGAAAGAGCATCATCCAGCCGCCCGTCGTGTCTAGGGTTTAGGGTTTAGGGTGTAGGGTTTAAGTTTAGGGTTTAGGGTTTAGGGTTTAGGGTTTAGGGTTTAGGGTTTAGGGTTTAGGGTTTAGGTACCCTTTTTGGGGGTCCTTTGAGGAGATTCTGTTCTGTTGGGGGTATCTTTGGGGTCCAACTATTTTGGAAATTGCCCACGTTTACCCTTTTAGAGCTTCGGTTTAAGATTTAGTGTTTTAAGATCTGAGGTTTGGGGTTTCGGGCTCAGGGTTTCGGGTTTAGGGTTGAAGGGTCGAAGGGTTGAAAGTGTTGAATGGGTTGACGGGGGAGGTAAAGGGCGTAGGGAGAAGGGAACCTTTCAGGGCTATGTTAGAGGGTGTTTAGGGTTTTCGGTTCAAGGGTTTCGGGTTTGTGGTTTAGGGTTTGGGTCTTCGGGTGTAGGGTTCTAGGCCATAGGGTTCAGCTTTGCGCGCTTTTTGGGGTGTAGGGTTTAGGGTTTAGGGTTTGGTGCTGTTTGGGCGTTTGGCGTTTTGCGTCTTCAGGGGCCCTTGTAGATTGTTGCCGGTCTCAGCTTTCAGGTTTGAGCCTTTAGGATTTTAGGGCTTGCTGTTCTAGGGCACTTGGGGTTTAGGGTGCTGGGGTCTTGGCTATGGGCTTTGGGCCCCCAAGCCCTTGCCGAAGGGTGCAGGGTTCAGGATTCAGGGTTCAGAAGAAGATGATGAAGGAGTCAAAGGACGGGAAGCTTTCCGCCATCAGTGTCGCCTTCGAGTTGATGACGATGAGGAATGCCGTCCAGCTGAATTGGAAGAGCTCGATGCAAGCCATGTCTAACCTGTTCCAGGCAGCCTTTTGGCTCATGGTTGTTACGAAGTCTACCTTCCGCGGGCAACCTGGGGAAGCTCGAAGCGACAGTAGTTGCTGACTACTTGTTCACTTCCTCGAAGGACTACCCTCTCGCTGGGATCGAGCAAGGGGTTTCCGGAAGTTATCACGGTGGGCCAGGACGACGACGCTGAGACCCCCTTGCAGAAGACCACAGGCGAAGGGTCCAAGGCGAACTCCGTGGGCAAGGGCAAAGGGAAGAATGCAGGAGGCCGTCCGGGTTCAGGGTTCAGGGTTCAGGGTTCAGGGTTCAGGGTTTAGGGTTTAGGGTTTAGGGTTTAGGGTTTAGGGTTTAGGGTTTAGGGTTTAGGGTTTAGGGTTTAGGGTTTAGGGTTTAGGGTTTAGGGTTTAGGGTTTAGGAACATGTTCACCGCTGCAGTCCCTGTTTGCTTGTTCTGCTTTTGTACTCAGCAAACCGTGAACAGAAGTCGCGCACCCTGCCCTAAACCCGCACCCTAAACCCTAAACCCTAAACCCTAAACCCTAAACCCTAAACCCTAAACCCTAAACCCTAAACCCTAAACCCTAAACCCTAAACCCTAAACCCTAGACCCTAAACCCGAAACCTAGTGCTTCTTTTGCCTTCCGACGTGCTTTGGGGTGTAGGCCTCAGGGTTTAAATCTTCGGGTTCAGGGTTGTGCTTAAGTCTTTACAAGAATCACTTTTCCTCTACCCTCAACCCTAGACTACTAAACCCTAAACCCTAAACCCTAAACCCTAAACCCTAAACCCTAAACCCTAAACCCTAAACCCTAAACCCTAAACCCTAAACCCTAAACCCTAAACCCTAAACCCTAAACCCTAAACCCTAAACCCTAAACCTCAGCCCTCAACCCCAAACCCTAAACCCTCAACCCCAAACCCTAAACCCTAAACCCTCAGCCCCAACCCTCAAGCCGTAAACTCCAAAGTTCTGAGGCTTCTCTGCGAGCGCGTTCGGCGGGTGGCCATGCTCTGCCGAACAGAGGTGTGGGCTTAGGGTTTAGGGTTTAGGGTTTGGGGTTTGGGGTTTGGGGTTTAGGGTGTGGATCCTTGGCCAAGGAGGGTCTCAGAGTTTTGGTTGGGGTTTAGGGTTCAGGGTTCAGGGTTCAGGGTTTAGGTTTTCGGGTTTTTGGTGTTTAGGGCTCAGGGTTTATAGGGTATTGTTTTTTTTGTGGGGTTTTTTGTGGGTTTAGAGGGTCTAGAGGGTCTAGAGTGCTTGGAAGGTTTAGAGGGTTTAGAGGGTTTAGAGGGTTTAGAGGGTTTAGAGGGTTTAGAGGGTTTAGAGGGTTTGAGGGTTTAGAGGGTCTAGAGGGTCTAGAGGGTCTAGAGGGTTTAGAGGGTTTAGAGGGTTTAGAGGGTTTAGAGGGTTTAGAGGGTTTAGAGGGTTTAGAGGGTTTAGAGGGTTTAGAGGGTTTGGGGCGTTTGATGGAGGACAGATGAGGGGGGGTCCGCTACACCCCAAACCTTGGACACTCACCCTCACATCTGAAACCGAAAACATGCCTTGAAATCCCAAACCCTCAGTCTTAGAAAGCCCCAGAATTTCAAGAAACTCCCTACACTCGCGTGGTTGGTTGATCATGGCGCGAGGATCGCCGGCAGGCAAAGCGAGTGGCGATACCTGCCTGAGACCCAGAGTGCCATTTTGTGACCCTAAGCCCTAAGCCCTAAGCCCTAAACCCTCCTAAACCCTCCTAAACCCTAAGCTCTAAACCCTAAACCCTAAACCCTAAACCCTAAACCCTAAACCCTAAACCGTAAACCCTAAACTAAACCCTAAACCCTAAACCCTAAACCCTAAACCCTAAACCCTAAACCCTAAACCCTAAACCCTAAACCCTAAACCCTAAACCCTAAGCCCT